ATGGAACGGAGGGAGTATTATTTTCATTTGTTGATTACCATGCACTTTAATCTCTTTCATATATTGAATAACATTTTGTAATCCACAGTGTTGAAGGCAATCCTAATCTTCTTTGCAAAGAAGGGTCATGTGTAAATAAACCTGGAGAAAGTGGACATCCCAAAAAGAGTATAATTGTACCAGTCGTTGCATCAGCTGCTTCAATGGTAGTTCTTGTAGCTGCATTGATTCTGTTTTTTGTTCTCAAAAGGAAAAAATCATCTAAAAGTAAAGGTATTCATATCAACAAAAAAAAAATACTAATTTCCATATATAAATATTAACGCATATTTATATGTTGCAGAAAAGAGTAGAGAGGCACCAAGAATTACTAAAAAGAAAAGGTTTACTTACGAAGAGGTTACTGAAATGACAAATAACTTTGAAAGGATTCTTGGGAAAGGAGGGTTTGGTATGGTTTATCATGGATATGTAAATGGTACAGAACCAGTTGCTGTTAAAATAGTCTCTCAGGCTTCAGTTCATGGGCACAAACAATTCAAGGCAGAGGTACTCATAATATAACAATCTTCATTTATTGCAAGTGTCTTTTAATTTACCACTTTTTCGTTGAATCTAAACCATACATTTGTTTTGTTGTGAATCAAAGACGATAAAGCAAAGAAGAATAGAGATTGAGACGAAAATAGGGTTTCTTATTACTCGTGTGTTACAAAGAATAAAACCTAAACTCCATATATATACATCTCAAAAAACTCGGTTTACTGACGTATACCGTACCACGGGGGGGGGGCGCAGCGAGGGCTGGCCTTTTACCATTATGTATCTGATTATAAGTCACTTAGATAACATGTTTCTTCTTCTTTTGTGGTTTGTTAGGTAGATCTTCTTCTGAGAGTTCATCACAAGAATTTGGTAAGCCTAGTTGGATATTGCGACAAAGGGAAAGAATTGGCGCTTGTCTACGAATACATGGCCAAGGGAGATTTAAAAGAGATTTTGTCCGGTAAACAAAAATTGAATGCATATATCACGCGCTATTGTCGATATAATGATAGCATGTCCCTCTCAATCATAAGCTAATGTCCTAGTTAAAACACACAGGGAAGCATGGCTCCTCTGTTTTAAGGTGGGGAACTAGACTAAAAATAGCACTCGAGGCCGCACAAGGTTAATTTAGCTAATCATTTCTCTCAAAGAATTTTAATTTAATGTAATAAATATCTATACAAATGAATATGTTACACTAGGATTGGAGTATTTGCATAAAGGATGCAGACCACCAATAGTTCATAGAGATGTCAAAACCGCAAATATATTGTTGGACGAACATTTCCAAGCAAAACTTGCCGATTTTGGGCTTTCGAGATCATTCTCAAACGAAGGAGAAAGTCATGTTTCCACAGTTGTTGCAGGAACTCTTGGTTACCTTGATCCAGAGTACTTAAATTATCGTCTTGCACACATCTATGTTCTGTTCGTGCTTCATATTATTAAAAATTTCTGACCATGTTTTACATACTTTCTTGCAGATATTACCAAACAAGTTGGTTGACAGAAAAGAGCGATGTGTATAGTTTCGGAGTCGTTTTATTAGAGATTATAACAAATCAGCGAGTGATTGACCAGAGTCGTGAAAGGCCATACATAGCAGAATGGGTGGAGTTAATGATTACCAAAGGAGATATTAGAAACATTACGGATCCAAGTCTCAAGGGAGATTATCACTCTGATTCTGTTTGGAAATTTGTTGAGCTAGCAATGACTTGTGTCAATGCTCTTCCATCGAGTAGACCGACCATGTCTCAAGTCGTTATTGAACTAATCGAATGTTTAACATTTGAAAACTCGAGGGAAGGAACGAGTCACGACATGGACTCCAAAGGTTCGAGAGAAGTGACCATGACCTTTGGTACTGACGTAAACCCCATGGCTCGCTAGGCTACGTAAATAAGACTCTTCCGCTGCATTTCGTTGTGTGTTTCAAATAATCCAAGAGTTTTATTTCACATGTTATATGGTTATATGGATTAAATCATTAATCAAAGAGTTTTAATTTAATTTTAGTTATATTATATGGTTGAAAAAAACATGGGTTCTAAGAATTTTACCTCTTGTTCTCATTTATGCTTTTTTACCTTTTTTTTTTGTTTTTGGGCTTTTTTGAAACTTTTTGCTCCGCCGAACATTTGTAAAACATTTCCAGATTTTTGGTATGTAAAATTAACATTTTATCAAAAAAAAAAAATTTACATGTTAGATTAACAGAAAAACAGGAATTGAAGGACAACTACATTTCTGAAACCAAATTTAGAGGAAGTAGATGACTTAAATTAGATGTAACAAAAATGAGATACATCTCACTTTGTTTATATACTTGTACTCTTTGTTCATTTTTCCAACTTTTAAAATATCATCAATTTTTTTTACCAGAAACAGTTTACAAAAAAAAAAACATCATCCAATTTGCTCGTAACGTATCAGATGAGGGTTTATCACCTTTCGATCATCATTGTAATCATCTTCACCTTCCTTGCTATAGGTTCGTATTTATACTGACAACCATTTTTAATATTTTATAAATTGTCAAGATCATGCTATTTCTTTAAATTATCAAAAAACATGTAATTTCCTTAAACTAAAATTTTATAGTTTAGAAATGGTTCTTGTTGAGAGAAAGTGATCATTCACAGAAGGAGACAAGTCCATAAATTAAAGCAGAGAATATCATTATAAAATAAAATTACTATATCAATAATTCAATGCAGAAAATCCTTTTGTTTTGTCAACCACACTAATTCTATATAGAAACAATTTGCAGAGAATTTTAGAAATTTACATCCCCAAATTATGGGATGACTCAATAAGGTGCATGTTGGTCACAACTTAATGAGACTTTTTAACCCCAAAAATTGCTGAGATCATTTTTAAAAG